CGACAAAAACGCATAAAATCAGGCATTTTGGATTTTTAGTGTGGGGATTCCAGTGTTTCCGCAGTACGTCCACATGCTGCGCCTACACTTCAGTCTTAAACATCATATCATGTTTTGCGGTAATAATATCGTGCTTCCTCTGATTGTTTTGTAAGGAAGTTTTGTTCGGAGCGCGACAGTATCCGAAAATTTCCTCGGCTTTCTCTCATAAAACCGATTTAATCAAATTTTATCACAGACAGGCTTGTCCGCTTCCTCAGATCCCAGGCTGTAGGCTACACGCAAATCCGTCTTCGTTTCTGCCAAATCCGTCTTCGTTTACAAATCCGTTTTCGTTTCACGCAAATCTTTCTTCGTTGCCGCTTAGTACAATGGTATAGAATTCTATCAGGAACAGTATCAAGATGTTCATTTGCAGAACTTTTGTGATGGATGCGTTCAAGAGAGTCTATTCCAACGAAGATACGGCAACGAAAGCAATACCCTATTTTTGGGAAAATTTCGACCCCGAGAATTATTCAATTTGGTATGCCGAATATAAGTATCCGGAAGATTTAACGCTGACATTTATGAGCTGCAATCTAATAAGCGGTAGGTAGTTTTCATTTTTTGTAAGCTTTTGTGACTGATAAAGGAATAATTTGGCTGGATTTAGGGATTTTTTGGTATTTTCAGGGATGTTTCAAAGATTGGAAAAACTGAAGAAAAACGCATTTGCATCGGTTTGTTTGTTTGGAACAGATAATAATTCATCGATATCGGGAATCTGGATTTGGAAGGGGCACGAACTTGTTTTCACACTTTCACCAGACTGGCAGGTTTGTTTAAACAGATGATCCGTTCGATTTCTCATGAATTCGGCACTTTGAGCGTCATCGCTATTTTTCTTCATCACTGATTTTGCGAGCTTTTCCCAAAGGAAAAATTAGTTCAAAAGCAGATGGTGCTTGATTTTTAGATTGATTACGAGAGTTATGACTGGAAGAAATTGGATCCGGCCGATGAGAGAACAAAAACGATTGTTAATGAGTATTTGATGTGGCAAGGGGATTTCGATGGCAAGAAATTCAATCAAGGCAAAATATTTAAGTGAGACGCAATAAATTAATCCTCTCTGTCTGTCTGTTATTGTTGGCTGCTGATAACCAATAAAGAAGTTTGTTAGCGTTGAATGTGAAGACACTGGAAAAGCAAACATTCTCAGCTCCATTTTACTTCATACAGCTTTCTGTTCCAGTTTTCTAGTTCAGCAATATGAAGTCTTGGATATTCCAGCTGTTTTTTTTTCTTTTTTTTTTTTTTTTTTTTTTTTTTTTT